TCTCCTAATAATTAAAGCAGACTTTTAGGCAATGTGAAAAAAGAGTAATTAATAATACAGTCCACCCTGTTTATAAGTGAATATGCGAAATTGAAAAATATTGCATTTGGAAAAAACATCATTTTTATTAGCTTTTTCAGATGGACCTTGCGTATTTTGATAATTCGGTCGTACATGATAATCCAGTGGGGAAGGTGAGAATTTTTAATGGCATGTTGAATATAGGCTTTATACCAAAATTCTCTCAATATCATTAAATTTTTTGTACAATGCCCAACAAACTATGAAACGATTCACTTAACCACAAAATTTGAATTCATATTTAATTTTCATATTTTATCTAAATTACCTATTATAGCTGCAATCATCACCTCCATAGACACTACAACAAAAATTTGGTTTTCTAATGCATGTAGAAATTGACGCAGCCGGTAGGATTCGAACCTACGCTCCCAGAGGGAATCTGATTTCGAGTCAGACGCCTTAACCACTCGGCCACGACTGCTTGCGCAATTGACCTCTCAGCAACCTTCGGCGAGCTGGCCTAACGGAAATATGAAATTATCATTTGTTCTGTTTCTTCGTATGTTTCACGCTCATATGACTTATCAATAGAAAATCTAAGAAAACGAAAATTCATTTATGAGCTAAATATAGCCCACCAGTTGCTCTCACCCTGCATTTCACTGTTCACACATGGCACAAGCACAGTCATTTGTTTTTGAGTGAGGTAGGTGCAAACGGAGGGGGAACACTTTCATATTTCACTCGCTGGCCAAAACCTCTCTCTCTCACTTTCTCTCTCCCTCCATGGTACAGTACATTCCAGAATGGTGACCAGCGTTTGTTGTTTGTATGGAATGTTGAAATTGTGTGTCGTCGCTGGGCTGCAAATTGTAGAGCGTTGGTGTTTAATGCCTGAGATAGATGTTATGTCAGCTACAATTGATGATGTCTTTGGTACAGGTCATTTTACTGAAACACCGACATTTCTGTCTGGAAATAAACCACATTTGTAATGACACAATTATGCTGCTGTTTTGAGTGTTGGGGAATTGTGAAGAAGGTACAGAAGCGGTAAACAAATAACAGCTTAATGCATTGAAATATTCCTACTGAAGAAACCAGATTTTTATACCCTCCACCAGACATAGTCTAAAGGTTAAAATTAAGTTCAGCATTTCGTTTGTAAATCTTTTTAGACCTAACAAAATGTCTATATTCTCTCCGACTGTACCTCTGTTGTAAACACGATAGAGTCAAAAATTTTGCACAGATCAGACTTTTGTCTGCAGGCAGGAATAGTTCGAAGATGGGCTATATCGGCCTACGATATCGTATAGCCCCAATGAAACGGTACCTTTCGATATTCGATATTTTGATGATTATAACAACATTTTTCACTGGAATTGTGTGAAATTCTACACAAGAAGTTCCTTTTGAGGACTTTACTCTCTGGAAGAAGTATCCTATATCCCTCATATAACGTTACTCTCATATTCGTTATTTTGAGGATTGTTGCCAAAAATTTCAATGGAATTGTCTGAAAATCTACACCACGACTTCCCTTTGAGTAACACCTTGGAAGAGAATAGTCTATATAGATCCACGATATCGTATAGCCTCTATATAACGGTACCTCACGATATTTGGTATTTTCATGATTTTAGTCGTATTTTTAAATGGAATTATCTGAAAATCCACACAAGGAGTTTCTTCTGAGTAAGTATTGTCAATATGAGTCACAATATCGTATATGCCCATATAACGGTACCCTCATACAGGGTTGCCCATATTCGACGGACCCATCTGGCAACGCCATAACTTTTGACAGAGATGTCACATGGCTTAATGACATACCGCGTTTGAAGCGTCAGTCCTAGCAGATTCTTACCATGAACCAATACACGCCACGCGAGCCCTCTGAAATAGTTGAAATTTACAAGAAGTCAATTGTGAAAACTCAACGTGCTTTTAAAACATTAAAAAATGTGAGAAGTGCGCCTTCTAAGAGCACCATTAAGCGTTTATACGAAAAATTTTCGACTGGTAAGGCTCTTTCTAATCCGAAGAGGCCATATAAAAGTCGACCAAGGCGATCGGCCGAGAATATCGCTGCCGTACGAGCCAGTGTTGAGAGGCCCCTAAGAACATCCCAAAAACGCCGTTCTCAGCAGTTGGGCATGGCTCGGTCCACTTTACAACGGATTATTCAATTGACGCAAATAATGTTGCCTGCGGACAAGCCTCGTCGATTGGAATGGGCCCAAGGGCCCAAAGGTCCGTCGAATATGGGCAACCCTGTATTCGTTATTTTGATAATTTCAGCCACATTTTTTAAGGGAATTATCCGAAAATTCACACAAGGAGTTCTTTCCCAGTACTTAACTCCCTGAAAAAGAATTGTATATATAAGTCCACAATGTCGTATATTTTATGATTTTAGTGGCAATATTCGAAGGAATTGTTTAAAATTTCGTATTTAAAGTTCGTAATAGTTACTACAACCTGTGACGGAAAATTTCTATTCCGGTTCACGTCTTCATGTAACCCACATATAACGGCATTTATCCGATATTTTGATATTTGAAGTTCGTAATTGGTACTACAGCCTATGACACAAAATGCAGGTCCACGTCTTTGTATAGCTCCAGCAATCGATGGTCGGAAATACGAAGGGGTCTAGAATCGGAGGTAGTCCAGGTATCAATGAGAAACACAAAACGAACAAGTTAAAAAACAGTAAGTTCGGCCGGGCCGAACTTTTGATACCCTCCACCATTTGGAACGAATTTGGAAATTTTCAAAAAAATAAAATCCGTTAACAATTCTGTTAAAATCTTAAAAGTACCGAATATAGCCGTTATATTGGGGTCTATACGACGTGGACCTACGTAAGCATTACCATATTCAAATTCGAAAATTAAAATAAATGGTGAATAATATAGCTAAAATCATCAAAGTATCGTATATGGGGAGGTACCGTTATATCGGATCTATACGAAGACCTGGACCTGCATAGACAATTTTCGTCACAGACTGTAGTTCACAATACAAACTCTAAATACGTAATTTCAAACTACTCCGGTGAATAATGACGCTAAAATCATCAGAATACTGAATATTGGGAGGTACCATTATATGTGGGCTATATGAAGACGTGGACCTGCTCAGACAATTTTCTGTCTTAGGCTGTAGTTTCCCTTTGGAATTTAAAATACCAAATTCCGCTGAATAATGTTGCTAAAATCATGAAAATACCGAATATCGGGAGGTACAGTTATATGGGGGCTATATGAAAACTGGGACCTACATGACCCATTTATGAACTTAATCTGCTTTCTGCCGAAATAAACATGTGTGCAAAATTTTAGCCTTCTATCTCAATTCGTTCGAAAGATAGCGTGATTACAACAGACAGGCGGACAGACAGACGGACATCGCTAAATCGACTTAGAATTTTACGCTGATCAAGAATATATATTTTGTTGGGTCTGACATGAGTATTTCGAGGAGTTACAAACGGAATGACAAAGTTAATATACCCTCCATAGTATGGTGGAGGGTACAAAAATGCTGCCAAATAAAAGCGACAGCAAAATGCGTGCTTCCGTAAGAAGAAGCCAGTCCCAGATACTTCTTTGAGTAACGCGAAAGCGGTTCCGAGTTGGGGCGTATCCTCCACGTTGAATAGAGGTGGGTTTTCAGCCGGTAACGACCTAAATCCGACGAATGTGTCGACGTCATCAGATGCCCAAAGCATTTTCCCATCCCTGCAAGGAAAACCCGTTATATTGTGACTATTTAAAACCGCGTATAAACAGAGAAGGCGTTACCCATCGTTACGAACTTTAAATACCACATTTTAATAAGAAACTTTAATAATATAATAAAATAATGTTCACTATCTCAAAAATCGATCTACGAATGATAAAAATATAACAATCTACTAAGGCTGGACCAAATCGCACTAGCCGGCCATAATTTCTTCACACATTTCAAGATATCAAACTTCCAAATGTTTATTCCATTCAAATCCGTCGTCTGCCTTATCCAACATAAATTATTCAATTATTAATTCCATCCGGATGCGAGCTATTGTGTAAATATTCTTGAGCCATTTCTTTTCATTTCGAAAATATTTTGATAACAGGCAACATCGTTTGAATTGTAGTTGCACCAGAAACGTCATGGATGGCAAGTGACGGCACCGAAGGATTTGCAGTTTATTTTTATATGACCTTTTTTTTGTTTTCGTTTTGCTTCCATTTGTATACGCTGACATTCCCAAAACGTTTTAAGAATTCAACTCATCTATTATTTATCGTTGGCAAACAGACATATAAAAATGGGCCGGAAAGGTGTGCTCTGGCACCAAAGAGGTCTATGGTGGAACATATTGTTGTTTACCAACCGAAATGAGAGTGTCTTAGTCGTTTTACTATTTGTTTTATATGCGAATGTGAATATTGAGCTTAGCTGTGGTGGTTAATATAACCCAGCAAGATAAATGATTTTGAGTCAGAAATATATACTGCTGCTCAACAATTTATTGCGGCAGGACGAAACATTTGCGGTAGACTCGGTAGATATGATTGTTGTACAAGATTATTTATAAAGCGCAGTGATACAAATAATGTATAAATAATATTTTAAAATCTTTCTGTTAATGATTTAAACAAGTAAAAAAGATATAATTTCGATCGTGCCGAACTTTGAATGCAATCCACCATTGAAACTAATTTAGCAAATTTCAAAAAAAAAAAAAAAAAAAATAAATCCGTTAAAAATGCTGTGAAAATCTTAAAAATACCGAATATAGCCATATGTATGCAGCGATATGGACCTGCGTAGGCAACTTTTGTCATAAGCCATTACAATATTCTAATGCGATATTTGAAAACAATTCGGTGAATAATGTAGGTTAAATCGTCAAAATACCGAGTATATTTTTATACCCTACACCCAGAGAAAAAATGACAACATCCGTGTATGAAACGACCACATCCGTGTATGATAGTGTATCAACCACGTTTGGTATCAAAATGAGCACGCCGTTGTCATTTTGACACCGAGATTTTGGCAACGGTTTCAACAACAGACGTGCATGAAATGAGCACATACGTGGTCATTTCGAGCACGCCCCGTTGTCAGATTGTCAACGCTTCGTTGTCAGATTGTCAACGCTCCGTTGTCGGATTGTCAACGTCCGTTGTCAGATTGAAACCAATGGTGGTCATTTTTTTTGATATCCGTTCCTTTCCCATTTTATACCCTTAGTAAAAGAAACGAAATTTTTTTAAATTTTTAATGAACGAAACCAATTACATAAATTCAATATAAATACATTCAATATAAATACATATTTAATTTAACAAAACAATTTGAATTACATATATTTAATGTATAGAAACAAATTAAATTAACTTTAATCTGAAATAAACTTTTCCATTATTCATAGGATATAAGTAAAATGCCATACATAAATATTTGACTCATGGCTACTTACCAATTCTGAAACTCTTGCATCGGACAACTTCGGCCATTTTTTTATATCTCTTTGCCGTATGTTAAAAGATCTTTTCCATTTTTTGCAGATCGATCCCCAATCATTACATTCTCTTAGTAAGGAAGCTTTCAATGAATCTCAACTAATTCATTAATTTCGGGAACATCTTTGTTACAAAAATTAGGAGACGTGTGAGTTGCTGCTTTGCTTGTGCTAGGTTCGGAAATCAAAAGCTTTATTCTTTTGGACTTCTTGTTTCTATACTTGGCATAAAGTTTTCCGCTTGCGTTGTTCTTTCCTTTTCTTGAAATGTAATAATAATCCTAAAAATAAAGACATATTATAAGTTAAGAAACTACATAATCAGATACGTTGTTTATATTGTTAATCTTACCCTCATTTCGTTTTCAAGAGGAAAAACGGAACAAATTTCATCCAATATGCGCATATAGTCTTGAGTGTAAAGAGTAACATTGTTGGTTAAAATATCTTCAATAATTATATTAATTATATCATCTCTTTGCTCGTCACTTAATTTCTTATTAACGCTACTACATTCAAGCGCTAGTTTCCCCTTCGAGGTATGTGTTAACAATTCCGTTAGATCCTATATTAAATAAAAAAAACTACATTAACTATGCTTACACAAATATTACTCTTACCTTACCTCTGACAAAATTCCTTTGGCTTTTGAGCAGTTCGAACCTGTAGTGTCGGGAGTACCAGGAGTACTTGCAGGTGTCTCGTTGCGTTTCCACCATTCACCTATTTTAGATGGAACTGACATAGTTTCGTCATCAATCCCGAGCTATTGTTATGACAATATTAATACTGAGTTCAACTCTGTAAAACAAATAATACGTACCTTTCGTTTTTTCCAAGCAAAGAGCTTTTCTCTGAATTCAACACGCAGTCCCAATGGTGGCACTGCTTCCTTTAAATCTTCTTTTTTCAAGTACTGCAAGCTGCGAAATGTTACATGTGATGCTAAAAGAACAAAAAAGAAAATTCTTTGTTAATTACACTGATTAACTGAAAAATTCATTTTTATTTACTTACCTTTTAATTGTTCAAAAAGCGACTCCATATTTATTCCTTTTAAGAACTCCCTTAACATATAATCGTCCTCATTGTTTTCCGCATCTTGACTGCTGCAATGGTTTGTATCGCGAACCACAACAATATTGCCATCGATTTCTAACAACTCACCAATGATATTTTGAGGATCTTGCGAATTATTATTCATTTTCAATAAATTTTTTGCACAATGCGTCCTTTCTCTTTCAATAACACGGAAAAAATGGTAAATATGCAGCCGATTGCACACGAGTAAAAAAAATGACAACGGTGGTGCATGATTCATACACGGTAGTTGCTAAAATGGCAACGATCGTGTACGATTCATGCACGTCGGTGTACAAAGTAACAACGGTGGTGCATCATTATGCAGGTGGTGGTGCATAATTCATACACGACCGGTGTCATATTGACAACGACCGTGTGTGAATCATGCACCACCGTTGTCATTTTTTACTCGTGTGTAATCGGCTGCAATTACCAATATTAAAAACCCAACGTTGTCATTTTGAGCACATCGGTGGACAAATTAAGCACGGCTGTTGTTGGTACCGAAAGTTGACCACGTCTCGGTGTCAATTTGAGCACGTTCATGTACAATTCACCAACAGCCGTTGTTGAAAAAAATAACAACGGGTCGTTGCGAAAATGACAACATACGTGCTTGATTTCGCAACGGGATTTTTCCCTCAGTGTACACCACATAGTGGTAAGGGTATTATGTCTTTGTGCATTTGTTTGTAACATGGAGAAGGAAACGAGATAGACCCATAGTTACTTTTGAGAACCTTCATAGAATCACTTTCTGAGTCGATTTATGCATGTCAGTCCATCCATCAGTCCGTCCGTCCGTCTTTCCATGTATTCTTGTGAACAAAATGCAGGTCGCATTTATTATCCGATTGAGATGAAATTTTCCAAACAATATGTTTTTGGCCCAAGGACGAACCCTATTGAAATTGGTGAGAATCGGATCAAATTTAGATATAGCTCCCATATATATCTTCATCCGATTTCGGGTTAAATGTGCACCAAATGTCCACTATCAGTCCAAATTACCTGAATTTTGGCACACCCAACCGAGTTCGGCCTAGAAGCAAGTATATAAAATTTGGAGAAAATCGGTTCAGATATAGCTATAGCTCCCATATATATCTTTCATCCGATTTGATCTTTAAGTCCCTCACATTCCTACTATGCACACCACAATCGTGATATTTGGTACCAGGTATTAGATGGAGCACAGAAATAGCTGTTTTAAATTTTATCGAAATCGGTTCAGATTTGGATATAGCTCCCATATATATCTTCATCCGATTTCGGGTTTATTGACCACCAAATGGCCAATATCAGCCCAAATGGCCCGAATTTTGGCACATGTGACCGAGATTAGCCTTAAAGCAAATACAACAAATTTGAAGAAAATCGGTTAAGAAACAGCTATAGCTCCCATATATATGTTTCATCCGATTTGGTGTTTAAGCTTCTCACATTCGTAATATGCACTCCACAAGAATGATATTTGGTACCAGACATAAGATATAGCCCAGAAATAGCTGTTTGTAATTTTATCGAAATCGGTTCAGATTTGGATATAGCTCCCATATATATCTTCATCCGATTTCGGGTTAATTGTGCACCAAATGGCCGATATAAATCCAAATGGACTGAATTTTAGTACATCGGACCAAATTCAGCCTAGAAGCAAGTATATCAAATTTAGTGAAAATCGGTTCAGATATAGATATAGCAACCATATATATGTTTCATCCGATTTAGTGTTTTAGTCCCTTACATTCGTAATATTCACTCCACAAGAATGATATTTGGTACCAGGTATTAGATGGAGCACAGGAATAGCCGTTTTAAATTTTATCGAAATCGGTTCAGATTTGGATATAGCTCCCATATATATCTTCATCCGATTTCGGGTGATTGACCACCAAATGGCCGTAATAGCATCAATTTTGGCAAATCCGACCGAAACCAGCTTAGAAGCAAATACACCAATTTTAGTAAAAATCGGTTCAGATATAGCTATAGCTCCCATATATATCTTTCATCCGATTTGGTATTCCTCACATTCGTAATATGCACTCCACAGGAATGATATTTGGTACCAGATATCAGATAAACCCCAAAAATAGTTGATTTTAATTTTATTAAAATCTGTTCCGATTTGGATATGCCTCCCATATATATCTTCATCCGATTTCGTGTTAATTGTGCATCAAATGGCCAATATCAGCCCAAATCACCTGAATTTTCGTACATAAGACCGAATTCAGTCTAGAAGCTAATACGCCAAATTTGGAGAAACCCGGTTCAGAGATAGCTATAGTTCGTAAAATGCACGATAGAATTAGATAGATTTTGATTTGGTACCAAATATCTCATAGAGCTCTGAAATGCCCTGTATAAACCTTTTTACGAGAGCTCTACTAAATATGCATAGTGGTGTAGGGTATGATATAGTCGGCCCCGCCCGACTTTTGAGCTTTCCTTACTGGTTTTGTATTGTATTTGTATTTTGACGATTTAACCTACATTATGGGGGCTATACGAAGACGTGGAGCTGCACAGACATTTTTTTAGGCTGTAGCATCCATTACGAACTTCAAATACTAAATTTAAAACAATTCCGGTGAATAATGTCGCTAACATCATCGAAATACCGAACATCGGGAGGTACCGTTATATGGGGGCTATACGAAGGCGTGGACCTGCACAGACAATTTTCTGTCATAGACTATAGTATTCATTACGAACTTCAAATACCAAATTTGAAACACTTCCGGTGAACAATGGCGCTAAAATCATCAAAGTGCCGAATATCGGCAGCAGCTAAGACTGGAACGAACTTTTTATACGCCCCACCCCATTTTTTTTTGGAACAAACTCGAAAAATTAAAAAAAATCCTTCGAAAAATACTGTTCAGATCCAAACCGTTTAATTTGGGCTATACGAAGACGTGGTCCCGCATAAATGCGCTTCTTAACTTCAAATTCGAAATTTGAAACAATTTCGTTTAAAAATGTCGCTAAAGTCATCAAAATGCCGAATATCGGGAGGTATCGTTATATGGGGCCTATACAAAGGCGTGAACCTGCATAGACAGTTTTCAGTCACAGGTTGAAGCACCCATTACGAACTTCAAATATGAATTTTGAAGCAATTCCAGTAGAAAATATCGATAAAATCATTAAAATACGCAATAGAGGGAGGTACCGTTATATGGGCTCTATACTAAAACGTGGAACTGTGTAGATAATTCTCTTCCAAGGGGTAAACAACTCAGAAGGAACTCCTTTTGTGGATTTTCAGACAATTCAATTTTGGCTACAATCATGAAAATGCCGAATGTCGGGAGGAACCGTTATATGGGGGTCTACGATATCGTAGACCCATTTGAACAATTCTCATCCAGGGGGGTAAGGTACACCGAAGGAACTTCTTGTGTGGTGTTTTAAATAATTTCATTGAAAAATCATCAAAATACCGCAAATTGGGAGGTACCCTTATATGGGGGCTATACGATATCGTGGACCGATGTAGCCCATCTTTGAACTTGACCTGCCTGCAGGCAAAAGACAGAGCTGTGCAAAATTTTAGCTTCCTACCTTTATTTGTTTTGACTCTAGCGTGATTACATCAGGCGTATGGATGGACAGAGCTAAATCATTTTCAAATTTTTCTTTGATCAGGAATATGTATTGGTCTAAAATTTTTATTTCGATGAGGTACAAACGGAATGAAAATAATATACCCTCCATACTATGTATGGTGGAGGATATTTGCGCTTCACACTTCAGTTCGTTATCTTAAGCATCTACAGCCAATGTTTAATAATTGACTCCCTCTCTCTCTCTCTCTCTCTCATTCTCCATACTAAACCAACCAAGGCAAAATTATGATAAGTAGTCGTGAGATTTTACTAAATCATAGCAGACATTGTGCCTAATTAAAAATTTTGGGCAATACTCGCGTGTAAAAAGTTTACTCTTCCGAAAGACCTTACTAAGTGAATTTAACAAGAAAAATAAAAAGACATACCTAATGTTTCTCCTATTTTGTTGGGTTATCAGAACACACTCACACAAGATAACGTTGATTGTTTACTTACCTACATGCTGTACCTGCACACCCCACCTATTTCACCGACCTATCGTTTCTTAGCATTGCATTTTACATTTGTTTTAGTCACTCGTTCGTTGTATATCGTTTATTTGGGCACCGAAAACAATTCTACTCTGCTCTGCACCGAATATTGTTGTGTGAATAATTAATCGTTCAATTGGTTTTTAACGCCACATAAAGTTGACGTTTGTCTTACCCACTGTATGAAGAAGAGAATATGTAGAAGAAGAATAAGCAGACAAACTATGCCATGAGCTGTCATTCAGTTGCTTGCATTCATTTCCCCACGGTTCGCTTCGAAGGCAGAAGGAGATTATCAAAATTTTTAATATCATTGACGTGTTGTAGTCTCATCATTTCAGCCTCAATTCGTTTATAATTCCCAAATGGTTTTGTGTGATGCGGTGGTTATTTTCATTTCAATTTTTGGAAGATAGACGCCTGATGCGGTTGCAATTCATGGAAATGGAAGTGTGCTAGATGTATGAAATGCAGACGCAGAAGCAACACACAAAAGTGGCAATTCATGTAGAAAATATTCATATAAGTGGTATTTATGTGTCGTTTTATTTGGTAATGGTTTATTTTTATACCCTACACCACATAGTGGTAAGGGTTTTATGTCTTTGTGCATTTGTTTGTAACATGGAGAAGGAAGCGAGATAGACCCATAGTTACTTTTGAGAACCTTCATAGAATCACTTTCTGAGTCGATTTATGCATGTCAGTCCGTCTGTCCATGTATTCTTGTGAACAAAATGCAGGTCGCATTTATTATCCGATTGAGATGAAATTTTCCAAACAATATTTTTTTGGCCCAAGGACGAACCCTATTGAAATTGGTGAGAATCGGATCAAATTTAGATATAGCTCCCATATATATCTTCATCCGATTTAGGGTTAAATGTGCACCAAATATCCACTATCAGTCCAAATTACCTGAATTTTGGCACACCCAACCGAGTTCGACCTAGAAGCAAGTATATCAAATTTGGAGAAAATCGGTTCAGATATAGCTATAGCTCTCATACATATCTTTCATCCGATTTGATCTTTAAGTCCCTCACATTCCTACTATGCACTCCACAAGCGTGACATTTGGTACGAGGTATTAGATGGAGCACAGAAATAGCTGTTTTAAATTTTATCGAAATCGGTTCAGATTTGGATATAGCTCCCATATATATCTTCATCCGATTTCGGGTTAATTGACCACCAAATGGCCAATATCAGCCCAAATGGCCCGAATTTTGGCACATGTGACCGAGATTAGCCTTAAAGCAAATACAACAAATTTGGAGAAAATCGGTTCAGAAACAGCTATAGCTCCCATATATATCTTCATCCGATTTCGGGTTAAATGTGCACCAAATGTCCACTATCAGTCCAAATTACCTGAATTTTGGCACACCCAACCGAGTTCAGCCTAGAAGCAAGTATATCAAATTTGGAGAAAATCGGTTCAGATATAGCTATAGTTCCCATATATATATTTCATCCGATTTGGTGTTTAAGCCTCTCACATTCGTAATATGCACTCCACA